GATAGCACAGCTAGTTTAGCTAGCTAGTAGGGATGGGAATTTCAGGCTAAAATGCTATTCGATATTTGCTGGGAACTATTCGACAAGGGAAAACAGCAGCTCCTTGTTTTTAAAGACAAAACAGTCACATGAAATATTTGATTTTCTTTTTTTAATTTAATGACTCTTTGAATATTCGAAAATGATTACCCATCCCTACTCGTTAGCTAAGTACCTGATTATTAAAGTGATCCAGGGAGATAGTCAAAAAGGTCTAGAACATGTGTAAGTATTTTGACACTTTGCTAACTTAAAATGTTGCAATTATAATTATTGCTATAAATTTTAACTTCTACTTTAGAAGATAGCAGGCGGGTCTGTGTAAGTCTGTGGTGCTGATCCTCATTGTTGGAACTATTTGCTTTCCCCAAGATCCGCCATTACTGAAATAAAGGTTCTTAGAGAGGCAGCGGAGATGTCGCCACTCTCCTTCTTAATCCCCTCTGGGTTTCAAGTAACAGTTGATTTTGTCTCTCAGGTGTATCCCACTGTGGCTCGGTCTCTGGGTATGGGTTTCTGTACATCGTTCAGTCGGATCGGAGGAATGATTGCTCCATTCATTGCTCAGGTGGGTTCAGTGTGACACCTGGTAAACACTCAGGTGTGTTTGTTGATGTTCGCCTGTGTGTACTTCAGGTGTTGATGTCTCAGTCGGTGATTCTGGCTCTCAGTCCGTTCGCTGCAGCCTGTGTGGTCTGTGCTTTGGGAAACTTTCTGCTGCCAATAGAAACTAAAGGACGAGCTCTGCTGGTGAGAAATGGATCAACATTTACATTTTCTACAAACTTTATTTTACTTTGTTTTAACAATTTTTTTTGCACCTTTTTCAGCAAAGCTCTTGATGACATCTTCAAACAAAAAGATGGCTCTTTAATCTCGTTGTACTGGATACAATGACAATAAAGATATTCTATTCTATATCTGTTACTGATCATTTTACTGCTGTTGCATGTGCAACGCAAAGATATTAAATATGTAATTAAGATCAGCTGTCATTGTCTTTTATCATTCTGAAGTAAATTAATTTGCAAGTTTATGAAACATTTGTTAATTAGAGCTTGAGAATGCTAAACCTTCTGTACAATTAAAGACTTTGTTAGCACACGTTCTGATTTTAGATCTAACCAGTAAGCAGAGGTAATAACCAGCGCTGAACAGCGGCCACAGCTGAACTCCTCCTCCACTGAGCTACAGAAGGCGGAGGAGTTGATCCTGCTGCTGAAACAACAGCTGGTTTATGTTTATTATGCAACACATTTGTTTTGAGCATTTTTAAAAGCAGAGTTGTCGTTCATGATTTGGATCTGCACCAGCCTTGCTTTCATTAATAAACAGCTGCATTATTGTCTGTTAAAAACCAGTTAGGATGGTTCTATTAGATTAATAAGAAACCTTTTAGGGGCGGCACAGCAACGCAGTGCTTAGCGCTGTCATCTCACAGGAGGAAGGTTCCGGGTTCAAGCCCTGGCTGACCTGGCCTTTCTGTGTGGAGTCTGCATGTTCTCCCTGTGCCTGTGTGGGTTCTCTCCAGCTTCCTCCCACAGTCCAAAGACATGCAACTTAGGTTGACCGGTGACTCTAACCTGTCTGTAGGAGTGAGTGTGGTTGTTTGTCTACATGTCAGCCCTGTGACAGACTGGCGACCTGTCCAGGGTGGACCCCACCTCTTTGCAATCTGTGCAGCAGATGACACCTTCTCTCCTTAGAGCCTGAACAATAAACTTTGAATGAGGAGAAAAAAAGGAAAATAAGTGAGAGCACTCTAAACCAATAATATGACAATAAAAACATCAGGAACCTTTAGAGAGGGCAGTTCAGTTCTTAGAAAGAGACCAGATATTTCACTCTTATAAAGCATCATTCAGTAATTTATTTAAATTTCTTTCTAGGAATTTGACTGATCAAGAAATAAATATAACTATAAATTCATGACATTTTTAACTTGGTTCATTTTGGATGGATTTTGAAAGTTTTCATTAGTATCACTGACCTGGTGCTAATTAGTGGCTTAACTAACAACAGCAACGTGGTCTGTAGTGAACCGGGCAACCTGATGGTGGCGCTGTGATGTCACTAAGCCTTGTTTGTTCCTCGCTGTTGCTGTCTGATGAAGATGATCTCTGCCTCTTGATCTGCGTTCATTAATCTCATTAACTCTCTGTGGGTCCTCAGATTACTGTCAGGTTGCTGGTGTGTCTGCCTGGGGACAGGGTGTGGGATCAGTGGACTTAAGCCACGCCCCTGACCCCAGACTGACACTGTGTATTTTTGTGTATGTGCTCAGTGTGTGTGTGTGCACTTGTCTCTGTGTGCTCAGTGTGTTGTGTGTGATTAAAGTGGATTTAGTGTTGCACTGGCAGCAGTTGCAGATGGAGCAGAGCAGCAAACGGTCGGCAGCTCTGAGACGTGAGTACGTTAACTCTCTCTCTGAAACCTGTTTGTTTCTATGTAGACAAGGGGCAGCTGAGGAGCATTTCTCTTAATTAAAATTTAGCACTTAAAACAGACTTTTAGTTCAACATTTAGTCAGGTTTGATTGTACTTTTGTGTAGCAGGTTTGTCTGTTGATGTAAATCCACACTTGATACTAGTGTCCTGTTGGAGCATAAGGACACGAGTTCCCACTGAGAACATGGGGCCATATTCACATCAGCACAGAAAAAAATGTGCTAAAAGAATTCTTAGGAGGAAATCATGCAAAAGTGCTAATATGAATTCTGTGTTTGCTTAGTATCGATTTGTCAAAAACAATATAATTAAGTGATCCATTTTTGAAAGCTAGTCTGAGTTCATCATAGTTTAACAGTGGGGCCCCTCTTTGTTAGGTGGACCTTGCTCAGGGACAGAAGCAGTTTTGCATTTGTAATATGAAAGAAGACCATATGTCAAAATGTTGTAGGCTATATCTTTTGGTTTTACAGTAACAATGGTGATTTGCCGCTGGTGAGGTCGAACTGTTGGTGCTTGGATCTCTTTTGTTTGAGCCTCTTTGTTTCTGTTTCAACTGATTCACTGTGACATACTGTATAAACAAAGACTGGTCATGTGACAATGACACAGGGACTTCATTATATACTTGAATCTGAACTGAGAGACGTTATTTCTATTAAGAGTGGTGACTGAAAACTAAAAAGAGCAGACAATTTAACAACAGTTACTGTGATGCAGAATGGAAGTCAACTTGTGCACATTTAAACAATCTAGAAAAACAGTAATATAATACAGCATATGTATAGAATAATATTAATACAAAGCACCACAGCAGCTGAATGAACACAAGGTCAACTTAAAAAGCAGCTGTTTGCTAATAAGGCCATGATGTGGCGAAGGCTTCAGAAGCTTCTAGTAAGCGGACCTTTAACACCAAATAGATGTTGTAAATCCATGAAAAGGAATCACATCATGCAACCTGAAATCAGAAAACGTTGGGGTTGTGTATAAAATCAAAATTAAATCTGAACAATGAAACAGTGTGTAAATCATTTCTGTCTTGTATCACGTTGAAAACAACACAGCAGCCCATTATTTGATGTGACACCTCATCAACTATTCTTTGTTCAAAATAAACACTCACTCCAGTCCTGATGCTAAATAGAATCTCATTTTTAAGGAAAAAAAATCACATTAACAAAAATTGTTGGAAATGTAGTTTCATACTACACATGCATCGAGAAATGAAAACAAACTTTTGTCAAAAGTTGTTGTAGAGTCACATATGTCAGATTTAATTCCACTTCCTATCCTTTCTGCCTCTCTCAGACATCAAGAGACAGGCTGGAGTCAGTGACATCATCAGCAGGTGAACCCCCCCCCCCCCCCCACGGCGCCCCGCCTCCCCGCGGGCGCCACCATGGGAGATGAGTCTCCAGAATGCTGAGCTCAGGAGCTGTTTGATGAGTTTGTGTCTGCCTCAACATGCAGGGCAGCGCTGCACTCATTCAGCCAGCTGTGTGAGCATTTGCAGCTGGACCGGAGCGCCACCGAGAGGCCTCTATACCGACCAATCAAACACCACATCAACTACTGGAGGGCCAACACTGTGTGGGCCAAACTGGACCGAAGGGCTGCTCAGCAGGAGTACCAGAGGGCCTGCGTCTGCAGCAACACCACGGTAGGTGTTTAGAAAACGACAACTCAGATGTGTGCTCTCAGTATTTACAGGGATGTAACTCACCTACACTCACAGAGCACTGCGTTAGGTACACCAAAACAGTTCTGCCATAACACCTGAAGCTCAAAATGTTTCAGGTTTTAGTGAAATTGTAAAAAATATATGAATTCTGCTATGTTTATTATTGAGTTCATAGTGAAAGGTGGTGTTGAACTGGACTCCATTATATTCAGAGGGGTTCCTAATATTTTGAGCCTCATGTATGTAAAGGTGAGGATACAACACCTCTCTGACTGGCCACCTGTTTTTGTCTCTTTCAGTGTGTGGTCATCAGGGCGGGACCCTGTGGTCTGAGGACAACAGTGGAGCTGAGTTTTATGGGAGCTCGGGTGGTGCTGCTGGAGAAGAGAGACTCATTCTCCAGGAACAACGTGCTTCACCTGTGGCCCTTCACCATCCACGACCTGCGAGGCCTTGGGGCTAAAAAGTTCTATGGAAAGTTCTGTTCCGGATCCATCGACCACATCAGTGAGTCAGTCATGCATTATACCTGCCTGATTATGACGGCCAGATCCAGCCATCAGCACCACCCATCTCCTGTCTGCAGGCATCCGCCAGCTGCAGCTGATTCTGCTAAAGGCTGCCTTACTGCTGGGGGTGGAAGTCCATGTCAGTGTGGAGTTTAAAAGTCTGGTGGAGCCACCTGAAGGCCAGCCCAGGCAAAGTGAGAAAGTTACTTTATTCCTCTGCCTGCTTGTTGATGAACTTGCCTGTCTGTCTACATGTCTGCCGGCCTGTTTACGTGTCTGCCTACCTACTTCCTGTGCAGAGGTGGGCTGGAGGATGGAGGTGAGCCCAGAGTTTCATCCTGTCAATCAGCTGGAGTTTGATGTCATTATCGGAGCTGGTGGGCGCAGGAACACCTTGCCAGGTAACACACTCCTTCATCTTCAGCCCTTTAAAGGATTAAATGTGTTGTGTTAAATTAGCTCAGTGCTCAGCTGAGCCTGAGCAGCGCTGAGTGTAACTCTGCCTCACTGAGACAAGCTCAGCTTAGTGCGTTAATGGCTCATGAGCTGAGTCGACTCCTCTTTGAGGCTGAAATAAAGTAGATTACTTAATAAATGTAACATCAATGTAAACATGTCAATGTAAATCATGCCTGAAGTACCATTGAGGCCAAGGTACATCAAGGTAAAGATGAAGATCTGAGTCTCTCTCCTCCTCCAGATGGAGGTGAAGTGCAGCTCAGGCTGAGTTCCGGCCTCGGGGTTGCATCATACAGTCAGTGTTAGCCAACATCGGCCTGTTAGCGTGCCTTCATGGTACAACTGTTACACCCATGGCCCTGTCCACCCCCAACACTTCCTCAGTTGGCACGGGTTGTCACAGTAGCTCCGCCCCTGCACAGGTGGGAATGCATTCTAGGTGGCGAGGCGCACCTGCTCTCAGTTTCCCGACTAGTATTTAAAGGGAGCGTTGGTGTGTCCTTGTCGCCAGATGATCTCTTGTCACCCTGTGAGTATTTGTGCTGTGTTTCCTGCAAGGATTCTATACATATGAACTGCTTCTATGTTGTGGGACCTGATTCCTAGTGTTAAGAACTAAATGCCCTTTGTGTTTTTGAAAGGGTCGCTTTCTGTTTGAACTGTCTTACTGTGGATTAGTGTATCCCCTGCTGGTTTTGGCCATTTTGTGTTTTTTTTTTTTTTTATTGGCATCATTTGGTGCCTGGACTGTGAACCTTTTCCGCAGGACGAGGAGACCAACCTCTGCTGGGATTTGCTGCGTGGCTCTGGATCTCAACTGTCAGCCTTCATCGCACTGCCCTTCTACCTGCTCTGTCATCTGCTGCAAGCCTGAGCCTCTCCACCACGGTAGAACTGCATGTCGGACCAGTGATCACCTGCCTCGAACCAATAAATGCTGCTACTCAGGTCCTCAGTATACCTATCAGTATTGCCATTTCCATAGCACCCTTGTTACTCATTATCATCCTCTGCTCTTCTTTAGCCAGCTGCGCCTCTCCTACCACCTTGGGTTATAGCCTTAGCAGTCATCCCAGCACTCCCCGCTGCCCTGAGATTGGCTGATGTGACTGATTCTGACCATTCTCAATTCTGTCAGTAAAATACATTTACCTGATCAAGCCTGAGTCCGAGTTCTGCCTTTTTTCTGAGTCCGACCACGCACACATATACGGTTCGCTGTAACAACAGCTGAGTCTGAGACCACCTCAGATGGATAAGGTTGGTCTACGTCTGACTGCATATAGCTGAGCCTCACAGTCAGAGCTTGAGATGTCCTAACAGGCCACCATACTGAGGACAAACCCTTTGATCTTAGGTCCAAAAATGACCTTTCCTCTGGCGCCACAAAATGTTACTCCACTAACGCTGAAGAGCTAAGATGGATTTTTTTTTTATCTCATTCTCAAAACAACTTTTCCCCAACTTATTCCTAAAACCAAGAAAACTTTCTCAAAATGTTACAACTTTTTAAAAAAAATTATCACAGTTTCTTGTAAAATTGAGTTACTTGTCTAGATGTTTTCCTCAAATGTTTTTCTCGTATTATTACAACATTCTTCCACAAAGATAACTTTACTTTTGAAACCGTATGATTTTTTTTGGAAAATTATCCTAATAGACTTTTTTCTTAAAATTAAGCCTTTACTGTAAATATTACAGCTTGATCCTTTAAATTTATGATACTGTCGTGAAAATTTTCAAATGTTCTTGAACTTTTATGACTTTATCTTGTAATATTTACTAAAAAGTCAATGACATGACTTTTACTTTGACTTTGTCAAAATTCTTTTTTTTTTTTTTTTTTTTTTTTTGCTCTCCTCAATTGTGCTTCAAAAGCATTGAATATCCAGAGGAATGTAAACAGGCTGTGCCCTGACATGCTGTGTCTGTATCGTGGCGGCTGATTGGACCGAACGTGAGTCTCTGAGGCACCTCGTGCTGCCTGTGTGAACAGGGTTCAGGCGTAAATAGTTCAGAGGGAAGTTGGCCATCGCCATCACAGCCAACTTTAAGAACAGAAACACCACAGCTGAGGCCAAAGTGGAGGAGATCAGTGGGGTGGCGTTCATCTTCAACCAGAGGTTCTTCCAGGAACTACGACATGAAACTGGTACCAAATGTGAAAGATGGAAGACATTTGCTACAAGTCATTCTGTGGATACAGTGGAACATTTGACCTTTTCTGTTTCAGGGATTGACCTGGAGAACATTATGTACTATGAAGACAACACTCACTACTTTGTGATGACGGCCAAGAAACAGAGTCTGTTGGAGAAAGGAGTCATCCTACAGGTAAAATCGCTGGTAAATGTTTCTTAACTGCACGTCTACCAGTGTTAATTCACTTATAAATCAAACCAAGGTTTGAAAATGAAAATGTCAAAGACAGAAACTAACCTATTCTTCTTTCATCAGGACTTTGTGAACACCGAGCAGCTCCTCTCTGAGGTCAATGTTGACCAGAATGCATTGCAGGCGTATGCCCATGAAGCCGCAAACTTCTGCACCAGCTACCAGCTGCCATCTCTAGACTTTGCCATGAATCACTACGGGCATCCGGATGTCGCCATGTTTGACTTCACCTGCATGTACGCGTCTGTGAACACCGCCATGGTCCACCAACACCACAGACACCAGCTGCTGGTCACACTGGTGGGAGATAGCCTGCTGGAAGTGAGACAGGAGTCTGCCAGGGGTGGGACAGGCTCCCGGGGGTGAGACAGGGGTCTGCCAGGGGTGGGACAGGCTCCCGAGGGCGAGACAGGGGGCTGCCAGGGGTGAAGTGTCTGGGGTTTTTCTCCAATGGTTAATTCCTCAAATGGTTAAGGCAGAGAAAGAGATGGGTCAGGCAGACAGGTGACAGTCAGTTAGTTAAATAACCTGCCCACCTGTCTGTCTGTCATCCTATCTACCCTCTGTCTGTTGTCCTGTCTACAGCCCTTCTGGCCATTGGGAACAGGAGTCGCTTGAGGGTTTCTGGCAGCTCTGGACTCAGCCTGGATGGTCAAGAGCTGGGCTCGAGGAGCAGCTCCTCTGGACGTCCTGGCTGAGAGGTGAGTGGACACACCTGGACAGGATACACCTGCAGCAGAATTGTCCCCTGGTCACATGTGTGTCCTGTATTTTAGAGAGAGTTTGTACCGTCTCCTCCCTCAGACGACTCCAGAGAACATGCAGAAGAACATCAGTCTGTTCTCTGTCGACCCAGCAAGCAGATATCTGAACATCAGCCCTCTGAGCATCACACCCGCTCAGGTACCGTATACTCGCTGATCCAGGTGCATGTGGTCACTGCGGTCTGCAGGAACATGCACACAGTGACAACAAAACAGACTGACATTAAAACAACACTGACACATGTTGTATTAATAATAAACCTAACTGCTAAATTTAAAGTCTGACTGACTCGGTGACTGACTGGCTGAGTGACCAGCAGATCATCAGCTGCCTTCCTGCTGTGCGTCAGGACAAACTGATCAATGTACAGTTTTATTGGTTGTTTGTACAAGTGTATGGGTTCTGCTGTTTGTCATTATGGTATTTGTAAGAATAATAATGTAAGATGTTGCTGAAGTGATGTTTTTTCTTCTTCAGGTGAGACACCTGGTGGACACCGGTGAGGAGGTGGGGCTAGACTGTGGTGACATCATCCGCCTGCCTTCACCCAGATTCCTTCAACAAGGTGAGTTTATTTTATTTTAAACTTTACTGCAAAGTATTAGTATTACTTAAAGTTTACTGCAGTGCTACTACTCAGTTTACTGCAGTGTTACTACTAGGTTTACTGCAAAATGTTAGTACTTCTCACAGTAAAGAGGTATTTTTACGCCTCCACACCGGTGACAGCCGCGGCCAGAAGCATTGTTTTTGGGTTGTCCGTCCATTGGCCCATTTTTTGAGCATGATACCACAGGAACACCTGGAGGGAGATTCTTCAAGCCTGGAATAAACGTCCACTTGGACCCAAGGATGAGCTGATTATAATTTGGTGGTCAAAGGTCAATGTCAGTGACCTCATGTCTATCTCACTCCCAATGATTAGGCATACAACCACGAAGCGGTAATTCTAGTTCACTGAAGCACCTGAACCTGAGTAGCACCTGCGTCCTCTCTTTCTGACAGTCATTCTCTCAGTCCAATCAGCTGCTGGCATGGTGCGCGGAGCAGACCTGTGGTTACAGTGGCGTTGTCGTGAGCAACCTGACGTCCTCCTGGAAGAGTGGTCTCGCTCTGTGCGCCCTGATCCACCAATACAGACCGGATCTCATGTAAAACCCTGATGAAAACAGCTTTTCACTGGTTTACATAGAAATACAGCAGAATACAAAATGTACAATGTGTTAAAGCTTCACATCAGCACTTTGAACTGTCTCTGCAGGACTCATCAGTAAAATCATAATACTCAAAAAATATGATCTGAGATCAAAAGACTGTAGACAGTCGATTAATGTCTAAACCATTTTAAAAAATTAAAAGTCATGATGAACTTGTAAGTTAATTTAGAAATCTGTAAATATAATTGACATAAAAAGATCTAATATTCACGATAAGAAACATGAAACTGTTATATTGTAATACTTGACAAACATAATGAGTAATCACTTTAAAACGTGCTGATATTTCCTCTCTTTAATGAAGTGTTTATTTACTGTTTATAAATACTACTCACTGCTCTGTGTGGCTCCGCAGAGACTTTGACTCCCTGGACGAGTCCTTGGTGGAAGACGACACTTGTCTGGGCTTCGACGTGGCTGAGCGAGAGTTTGGCATTTCACCTGTGATGACGGTGGAGGGGATGTCAAGTGAAGGGGACCCAGACGCTCTGTCTATGGTCATGTACCTAAGTCAGTTCTACCAGCTGTTCAAAGATTCGCTGCACCCGCCAGGTGAGACTCACACACACACGAGATAAATTGACAAAACTATTTTTTTTCAACCAGAAAAAAAAAATTCAACAAAAAAAGAGTCAAAGTGAAAGATCTACATAAACAAACAGATAGTGACTAAAAGAAAACAAATCATTGTTTCAGGCTCTTTGTGTCAGAGCGTTGACCTGAGAGCAGCCCTCATCACGCCGGCCGCCCTCCTCAGCAGACTGGGACACAGCCTGTCCAGGAAGACAAACCCAAAGGTACCTGCACTCAGAGTTAAGCTTGTGTGTGGCGGCTTTAATAGTGGAGCTCCAATACTACAATTCACCATAGCGATGAGTAAATAAAAAGCAGCTGCTGTGGTCAAGAGGTCAGTGTCAGAGCTGTGCATCATCCCAAAGAGAGGAAATATCAGTTTTTATTGCTTTACTGAGCTTCAGTCTTCTTATGATGCCGGAGGAGGAGCACATTTGCCTGTGGGACTACACTTGCGCACAGCACTCTGTGTCACAAACTCTATGTTGCCACTGCAGCCAGATGAGTCCCCTCGAGGTAACCTGGCCAGGTCATCACGTACATGACAGCCAATGAGGGGCCAGTTTCACAACAAGGATAACACAATTTAGCACAGACCCAGTATTGACTTTATTAGAGGAAACAGGCCTTTCAACAAACAGCACCTCGGGTGAACAGGTGACAAGGTGAAGCTACCGTTAACATCCAAGCCCCATAGAAAGGTTTTTTGGTTCCAGATTTAAAAAAAGAAGTGGATGCTGGGTTGACTGTCTGGTCTGCACTCAACTGGTTTTATCCTTGCTCAGATTCTGGACCCTCGTTGGCTGGCATGTATGTGCTAGTCTGGCCAGGTGCTGATTACCTTGAAGGGACACACTTGGATACACAGTTTAATAAGCAGCTCCACTGTGTGACTGGGCTACTGGTGAAAACAAAAAATGCTTTGTCTCTTGTGAATGAAGTGGTGTGTTGTGGCTGAGTGCGAGCCTCCTCTGGGATCAGTGGTTAGTACAGTAATAACACAGCGATTCTCCTCAGTGGGAACTCTACACCTATGTTTATTCTTCTGAAACAGCAATGAACATGATGGGAAGGAAGAGAAATAAAGATTTAAATAAATCACAAATACATTTAAATTAAGAAAAACTCCTAAATTTAATGTCATAAATGAAGAAACATGCAGGAGATAGTCTAGACTGGAAAAAAACCCTCAAAAATGAACAAAGTACAGCTTGTAAATAAAAAGACTGAAAAAACAACTTGAAGAAAAACTGAAAACTCTTAATCTTAGAAAAATGTAAACAAAGAAAACATTTGTTTATAATAAATATTAGATTAATACATGGAAAAAAGGGAAGACAACATGGTGACAGATGTGAAACAAAAACATGAAACACCTGATTCATATGATTTTCTGAGCAGAAACATTAGCTCCTTAGATGTTTCTTCTATAAATAAATAAAAAATCTTTTTTATTTTCCAGTCATGTGACCTAAGTGGTGACACTGATGGCCAGGTGTGTGATGAGGCCTTTGTGGGCGGGTCCAGAATTCGACTGATGGCCAGTCAGCTGCAGGCAAAGCTGGCCGAGAGCTCGTCTACCTGCAGGAGTTCTGCTGCTGCAGCTTTACGGCAGCAGGTGAGATCGGTGCTGTTTAACACCCTGATCATCCATTGATAAAACATTTGTCAATGACAGAAGATTTCAAATTTGTCACAAATGTTTGACTTTTCACAATTAACTGACTACTCTGGACCCAAACAACACCTGGTCCTGAGCCTGGTGTCCACATTTTAACTTGGTACCAACTGTTACAAGCTAGTACAGTAAAACAGTTTGCAGATGTAGAAACATTTTTAGGTAATGGATGAAAACCTCGGGACATAACGGCTTTTCGCATGTTAAATTACAACCTCCTGCATCTTGTCGTAGAATATTAAGGTTCCTTAAAACTTGTAGTCTGACTGGATTCTGATCCCTGAATCCCCAAGTCCAGATTTTGCTGATCAGTCTTCATCTGAGCGTCTCTGTCCCATTTTCTCATCTCCATCAGAAAAAGCGAACTCTTCTGCAGGAACAGATGAGTTTTTGATTTAAAGAGAAGATCCAGTCTCAGTCTTCCCTCAGCAAGGACGAACAGGTACCATGCTGCAATGACCTCTGAGTATCTGTGGCAGTGGTTTGACTCCTTTAGACCTGTTAGACCCTGTGTGCTATGTTGTTTTCTCAGATGAGCTTTAATCTGACCTGAGGTCTGTGAGAGCTTCAATCAGGTTAAAACTAACAGTCTCTTCAGGCTCAGTCCAGCCATCACGTTTTTCAGTCCATATTTTACTGAACCTCTGATGGGCACGTGGGTTCATGTGATGAATCTGCAGATCAACGACAAGCTGTCCCCTCCAGGGAGTTTGTGTGGTGCAGATTTGTGAATAACGTCTGTCTGTTGTGCCTGTGACCAAAGTGCCTTTAGATATGCACTGGTGGAGTGAAGCTCACTGGCTGAGTGGATAGCCAATCAAATTCAGAGTCAGGAGGAGAGAAGTTCAGTAAGATTCATGTTCATTCACCTTCTTCAGCTGCTCTCACATTAAAATTCTGTCTGTAATCAACTTCAAAGAAAATGCATGTGATTCTGCTTTGGTGACTGGTGACCTCAAAAGTCTGAATGATTAAGGTTTTGGCTGTGCAGTTGATACATCCGGTCGATTCCTGACCTTGGAAACAGCAGAAGAAAAATAATCTAACCACAGTTTCCTCTTGCTTCATAGTTCTGGAGCATTTGAGCACCGAGTTCAGCTCCTCCTGAGGGTCAGTCAGAAGCTCTGAGCGAAGGAAGGTTTTGGACTTTGGGTTGAGTGTTTTGCCAGCTGCTGCTTCCAAGGTCAGAAACAAATTGTTTAGCTTAAGTTTTAGGTTATCATGGACGAGAAGCCCCTAAGGTGCCCAGACTCAGAATGTTGGATCACCCTGCTGATGCAGACAGGGTTGACCTCAGAAACAGTGTCTGACCTGACATGAAATCAACTCCATCAGACAGCCTCAAAAGATCTGACCTCACCTCTTCACCAGATTAACATTTCAATCTGATCTGTTTGTGTGAAGTTGGTCTCTTATCATTTGTGTCTCTACAGTTTGCAGTGGGCTGCAGCGACATCTGTTTCTTCTGTAAGAAGAAAGTTTATGTGATCGCACGTCTGAGTGCTGAGGGCTTGTTTTTCCATCGCAGTTGTTTCCAGTGTGGTTGCTGCGGCAGTACTCTCAGGCTGGCTGCATACACCTACGACCAGCACAAGGGTCAGTGTCAATCATAACAAACCAGATAAAGCCAGTCAGATTGTTGCTGTGCGTCCAGATTTTCCACCACAACACACTAGAGGAGAATGAGGTTTTAAATAATCCACAAAACTCACTGGAGGCCATTTTACTGTCTGATTCCCTATCATGGAGGATGCTGCAGACTTGTTTTAGTTAGCTAACGGTGTGTAAAAATCAGTGGTGTAAAACCTAAAACTGCAAAATGTGTTTACTAAGCTCAGTACTGGGCCCTCTGTCCCTCTGATTACATGCAAATGATTTACCTGAGGCTCGGATGTGATGTTTGATAAGTCGCTGTAAGAAGTCAGTAAACATCTCTCCTGCTGTCTCAGGGGGGTTTTACTGTGTCCAACACTACGTCTGTCACCTCAATGCTCCGACAGTGGCAAAGACATCGACTCCATCTGCTTCACACCGAACATCAACAGTAAGACATTCAAACTGTTTTCACTTTTACATCAGTGTAAACAGGAAAATAACAATAAAACATGTAATGCAGAAAATAACTGTGCTTCTCCGCAGGCATCACAGAATTCAGACCATCATCAGTTTTATGGTTAAAATGATAGAAATCAGTTCCAGTATAAGTCTGTGTTTGTCTGCGGCTCAGCTTTCTGGCTAAATTTTGAAAACTGGACAAGTAATCAGAACTAGTAAAAGTCCATATCCGCCTGTTGCAGGCATCTGTGGGTCCACCTCCATCCCTGACTTCTGCTGACTCTCTGATCCTGGCTGATCCCCATCGCTCCGCAGGTGAGCTCGCCTTGCCTTTGTCATCTGTTCAGCTTTCTTACCTGTTCACAGTGAGCATGCTCCTTAAACTTGAATCAATGTGGGCTTTAGAGTGTGTGTGTTTCTGTGTGTGTGCATGGCTGTGTTGGTGTGTTTGCAGTGGCTTCTGTGATGGTGGCAATGGCCGAGAGGACTGAGCTGGAAAACTACCGACGCAGCTCAATGAAGGCAGAGACAGAGCTGCTAGAGGAACCAGAGGAGGTCTCTGAGGAGACCCTGGCCCGGTTCAACCTGAACCTGGGCCAGACACACAACCACAGGTCGAGGCCAGAGTCTGACCTGCAAGGGAGGTCAGAAATCGACTAAAATACATGAGCTGTTAGGAAGGATCAAAAAGAATAAAGAAAATATTACAACTTTTAAAGGCAGCAACATGACTTTTTGGTCACTGAATTTTAAGTTCAAATTTATGACTCTTATGTACATATATAACTTTTAAGCTAACATTATGAGGTAGTAAAAATTAAATTCATTTTTAGGCAAACATTGAAGTCAGGATTATGAATTTCTGACTCATGACATTTATGAGCCTTAAAGTAAAAAAGGCTATTCAATCAAAATTAAAACTTCACAGGTTGCAATTATAACATATCAAAATATTTGCTAAATCACAATACCCTTTTAGATTTTCAAATTAAAGAAAGCTAACAAGATATTTCACAGGCCTGAAGTAGCATATGACTTTGAATTAAAAAATATATTTTTATAACCACATACACTGTAAGTCAAGACTTTTACTTAGATTTGAAATGAATAGATACTGTGTCAAAATTATGTCTAAACCACTTTTTCAGTTACCTTTATAATAGATTAAACTTTTGAAATAAGTCAAAATGTTTGGACAGTAGTTAAAACTATTTAGTATTTCATTGTTTTGTCCTGTGAGTGTTTTCAGTTGCTTTCATTTGCTGGTGGCACTGGTCTTCTGGCCCTCACAGTGAAGGACGACTTGTTTTTTGTTTCAGTTCAGATTCAGACATGGAGGAGGATGAGGAGGAGAGAGAAGGAGGTCGACACCAGGTGAACTCAGAGGAGAGAGAAGGAGGTCGACACCAGGTGAACTCAGAGGAGGCCAGAGCTTCATGGAGGGAAACTCTGCAGTTCCACCTCCACTTGAGAGATGACGAGGAGGAGGAAGAGGAGGGAGAGGTTGAATTAGGTGAAGAGGAGACAGGCAGTGAGGTGGAGTCCAGTAATGGTGAGTCACAGTTGAATTTTCTGTGTTTTCAGATTTGTAGTTTAAATACACTGCTGGTTGATGTGTCTTGTGTGTGTGTGTGTTGATGTTGTGTATATGTGTTTTATTGTTGTGTTTGTGATGTGGTGATATTTGGCTCCCCCTGATGGTAGAGGGGGAGTACAACCCCGGGGAGATGGAGCGTCACTCAGGCCTGTGGCTCCTGTTAGAGGAAGAGACAGGTACAAGCCAGACTGACCAAACTCCATTCATAAAAACTTCAAATTTAGATTTATCTAACTACTGTTAACATGTTACGTGAAGCTGCTGTTTCTACTGTCATGTGATCATTTTAACAACATGATTGCCATTTCAAGCAGCTACTAATCAGCCGCTTATATAACAATGTTAAATTTGCTTCATCCTGATGGTCACAGTAACATAACGCTATGAGTTTGTCTTTTCCTGTGATCATTGGTGGAAAAAGTAACAACAAATGAATGCTGCTGCAGTGTCAAGGTATTTGTGTATGTACATAATCACAAAATGAGTATTGTCATATTGTGTTCTGGCTACGTCTTTTTTGCTTCCTCCCTCACTTATTAACTCCTCCCCTGCAGAGGAGGAGTCTTCTCTGCCCACACATCTTACACCTACTGTTGTTTTAGAAACAGATCCCCAGACACGTGCCCTCCAACCTGATGCTGGAGGGCAGGGCCCTGAACTCCTACAGGAAAAACCCCTCGTCTTTCAGGGGTTAGAGATGGAGTCAAAAGGTGAGGGGGCATGGGCTGAGGCACAGGGGGTGAGAAGGAGGAGAAAGGAAGAAACTCACCCCCCCCCCCCCCCCCCGGCACACGAGGGGGGACCTACACCAGGGGTTTCAGGGGCAGACAGGTGGAAGTGGAAAAGGGTGGAGCCAGAGCTCTGTGGAGGGCGGTGTTCTCTGCAAACAGGAAGGAGAAGAAGAAGAAGAGAGGTGGGACTTTACCTTCAGCTGCAGAAAGGGCGAAGAAGGAAACAGCCAGTCAGAGAGCCACAGGTGATGATGTAATAAACAAAGACACCAGAGACTTGGTGATGTCACATTGATGATGTAATATGAAAACTGTACTTTATCTCCAGATTTGAGAGGAGCTCTGACAGAAGAGTCTGACCTGGACTCATCCACTGTCCTACAGAGGTGTTTGCTGAAACCCAGAAACAACGTGAGGAATCAAACACAGCTCTCAACACTTCCAGCAGGAACTTCACTAGCAGTGCACATTAGCTGTCAGAATACAGTTACAGACCAACCAACCAATCAGAATACAGCTACTGACCAACCAACCAATCAGAATACAGTTACAGATCAACCAATCAAAAATATACTCGACTTCCTCCTTTCTTCTGTGTGTAGTGTGCACCTTTACAGTACCTGTAAACTGTTGATGGAGCCTGTAGAGGGCAAATAACAGTAGTTCAAGTAGAACTGAACCCAAAGGGACTCCACTTTGATCAATAATTACCAATAAATGTTTTATTTATTTGTTGTTTTTTTTTTTTTTTTTGGTGGACCAGACTAATCTCTGAGTTAAGACTAAAAGTCTGAGTTGTCCTCAGATAAACTTTCCTTTCTGATGACTGTAGCTGTGTGACCTCATGTCTGAAATGCAGAGAGTCACAGTAACAGGGGAAGAGAACCAGCAGGTATCAGCTGTGGTTGATACTAGATAGAGATACTGGTGCTATGTAGAAAGTCTTGTTTCATGTTTAGGTTCTGTGACTGTGACATATTAGCAGAACACAGAATGAATGCATGTCTTTATCTGCATTTTGCAACATTGAAACTGTAGACTGGAGCCAGACTCAAATCACAAAATGAAGAACATATACTGGAGAAGTGACATGATGATCTATGTCTCTCAGCTTGAGACTCTACTTATTATAACTGATTTGGAACTTTTCAAGGCTGACTTGGACTGGTTAAAACTGACTATCTTTCTGTTTGTCTGGACTATGTTTCAACTGACTTGAGAGTCAGCTTGGACTTGACTTGAGTTGTTCTGACTGACCTGAGACCTGCTTGGACTCATTTGAACTGACTTGGACTTGTCCCAGATGACTTAAGATCAACCTTGAGCTTGCCTCAGATGAGTAAAAACTTGTCACAACTGATTCCAGACCTGACTTGAGCTTGTTCTTACAGATGTAAAAATGATAGAAATGGTGGCATCTTGTGTCTTAGTTCAGTGAATGTTGAGACCTGATGGTTTTTAAATCACTCTTTAAAGTCTCCTCTGTGGTTTCTACCAGTTTGATTGATTGTTTTTCTTGTCCATGTGTCGCAGCCTGCGTATGTTCCTCATGCCCTGGCTTTTAAACGAACATATGCCATCAAGTCTAATCATATACAGTCCTGTAATGGATCACAGGTTCAGTCTAATGTCCTGTCAGATGGTGGTGGACTCCTGTAATGTATTAACACTGTTTTATCTCAGAAACACTCTATGAAGGACAGAGTCCCTCTCCAGGATTCTGACGGACAGTCCTCGTGTCCAACAGAGGTTTTGGGGGTCCTGGTCCAGCCGAAGGAGCCATCCAGTCTGAGTGTCAAGGAGACCCTGTTCCAGGGGGAACAGGAGGATGCCGATGAAGACCTAGACACCAAAATCACTCAACAAGTTTGGAGAGCTGCTCAAAGACAAGCCAGACAACAACAGCTGAAGAGACTGCACAAGGCTCAGGTGAGGTTACCTGAGAACAGAAACGTGTGGAGGAGGTCCAAGTTAAAGTCTGCTGGGGGCTGGAGACTAATTTTGTCTTTTTGAGATCCAAAGTGGTAAAATAGGCAACTGGACTTGCTTGAGGTTCTCTTGAAGATGTTCCACCACTCATCCAAGAAGCAGCTTCTGTGCAGTCATTCTCAACTTGGTTTGTAGGATCGTGATAATTCCCAGTAAGTGCTTCACTTGATGGTGGGAATCAAAGAGTAAATACAGGTCCATCCACATCTTGATTCATGTGACCCTAACAACTTACATGGCAGCTGGGTGGGGCAATGACCGACATGAGACTTCAAAGACCCTCAAGGTGTTAAAGACTCTACAGAGGTTAAAACACCTGGAACTCCCCAGCAGTCAGTCAGAACTGAAGAAGTGAAACATTTTCAAAAGAAGCTCAAGCAAGTCCAGTTGTCTATTGTGCCACTTTGGATATGCCATGACCTACAGTAGATGACCGAGAACCTCCACGAACAGGTCTTTTTGATGTGTTTCAGATGATCCAGAGACAGCTGCAGCAGGTGGAGGAGCAACAGAGGCAGCTGGAGGAGAGAGGAGTGATGGTGGAGAAAGCTCTCAGAGGAGAAGCTGGTAACGACATGAATACAGTGGTTTCAGATACACATCTTTTTTTGTGTTGTAGATTTAATCTGAAGTTGAAAAAAATCCTATTTTTGCCCATGCATCTGTGCTCAGTAACACATAATCTCTCAGTTAAAAAGTCTTGAGAGCCTTGCTGTGGCTCCACACTGAGCTCTTGTGCATCCTGTCTGAGATGTGTCTAGAACCTGACTGGAGTCCACCTGTGGCAAACTGAGCTCACTGGACAGTGTGCGTAGAGAGACACACACCTCTGTATGTAAGGTTTCACAGTTCACACTGAAGGTCAGGACTCACATCTGGGGCGTGGCAAAAAGTAGTAACTTTGTTGATTTCAAATCAAATCTACAACTAAATAAAGTATGCAAAAACTGAAGGGCTCTGAATACTTTGTGGCATGTCTGTGCAAACACACTGAATGAGAAGCTGAAATCGCCTGTGTTTGTGTCAGATTACTGGGGAGACTTTGGAGACAGTCAAGACTTCGACCTTCACCTGGGAGGTTAGTTTATCCCCTGAGTCACTTTCTATGCAACAACTAAGTGTACTGTGGTTTACTATACTACACTAAAGTAAGTTACACTTCAGCTAATGCAGTTTCTTATTGTTTGAACCTGTGCTTAAATCATTCAAGACTAGCATGACAGATGAGATCATCCCATAATTTGCTGTATATTATACTAAAGTGTACTAACAAAGTAAACATTCTAAACATTGTTATACATTACTACAGTATACTATGCATTTATAATTCTATGATGTTAGTACTGTGTAGAGGTATATTGTACTGTATGATATTAAACTATAGCCTACTATATACTAGACATACTACAGTGTACTATTGAACTGTACCATATTGCAGTATATTATATCCTGATAGGGTTAATCCTGTCTGTCCAGTTAGATGGTTCTGTTTGAGTGAACGAAAAAAAAACTGTCATGTTTAAACGGGACGGCCGGTCTATCACTGTAGGGCTGGGTAAACAAAGACATCCAGACACAGAGATAGTTTCTTTCCCCAGGCTATTACAATGATGAACAGCTAGTCTATGTTGCTCTTCTAGCTTGTATATATTGTGTATTTTTTTTGTTTTTATGTTGTGCACATTGAGGGCCATTGAGCTGGAGTCAAATTCCTTGTGTTCTTGAAATACTTGGCAATAAAGTTATGCTTATGTTTAAACCGAATGACTTGTTTGTCTCTGTAAGACTGGGTAAACCCGGTCTGATGCAGCAGTGGTTCCATTTGGTGCAGCAGAAGAACTCTCTCGTTCAATATGAATCTGAACTTATGATATTGTGAGTATCTGGCCTTTGCAGTTTAAACTTGGGAGAAGCTGATTCAGTAAATTCAGGTTGATGAGGATGAACTAGGACTGTCTGTGTCTGGATCTTGTTTCTCATGACTGCTGTGTTTCAGTGCTCGGGAGTTGGAGTTGGAGGACAGACAGAGTCGACTGCAGCAGGAGCTCAGAGAGAGGATGGCTGTGGACGGTAATATCACATTAACACAGACAAACCCAGTTTTAATTCTGTTTGCCTGAGAAATAAGTGAAGAATTAAAGGAACATGTTCTTACAGACTTTAAGACCTGTAGAACATTTCTGATAGAGTGACATTTAACCCTCTGTCGTCTGCATGCTATGTCAAATACTAACCCTGTGTGTTGTTGTAGACCACCTGAAGGAGGAGTGGCAGCTAATGGAGGAGCGACTGATCCTGGAGGAGATGTTGGAGGTGGTGGAACAGAGAGACTCTCTGGTCTCTCTACTGGAGGAACAGAGACTGCAGGAATGACAGGAAGACCAGGACCTGGAGCAGGTGATGATGACCCAAAGACTGGCATTCAGCTGGATGTGAAACTGGTCTGAACTGGTGTGCGGATACTCTGATGGGCCTGATCCTATGTGGAGTGATATCACAGTGACCAGGAGTCTCAGCTTTTGATGCTTTACTGCTACTGTGAAACACTACATCCATTTGAGTTCTGTAAAAATGCTTCAGATTGAGTCCAAATGTGCTATTTTGGGTATAGTTGATGCAGTTGTCGCTCTGCAGAGGGTGTAATGTGATGTAAACATCAGGTGTAAAGCCCCAGATGATTTTCATTCTTTCATTATAATGATCAACAATACAACCCAGAATTTAAAGAGTGAAAATATTTTCTTTTGTCCTAATAAAAGCACAATATTTACCACCACTAGAGTTGATAGTCTAATTTCAAAGAAGTTTGATAAAATCCAACATGTCTGTGAGCTAGTCGCCACCAGGGGCGCTGCTCTGTTCCCCTGTTGGAATCACTGATTTCAGGTGTGCCTTAATATGACACTATGTTAATCTAGATTCTAGATGCACAGTGAAGTTAGATTTAGAGGTTTAGATTTATAGTTAAGCATCAGATTTTCCCTCACAGACACACGCACTGTGTCAGTGATGTAAAGTGGAAATGTGTCTCCATCAGTGACGTGCAGATCAATCCTGAAATGTCCATACTTCTGATCCCAACGTTTCCTATTCTAGGATCAATTTCCATGTTAAAATATTGACATCTAAAAAAAAAAGCAAGCTAATTTGGGATAAATGCATATTTTATCTTCAACAACAGATGCAACAGTCTAAATCATACCTGGTTGATAGGAACTATTTCTCTTTCCACCTGTCACTGTTATAAGATGTACACTTATAGCTTAAAACTAGTGGTGGCAAGTAAGTAAGGCGTCTTTACGGACATTTTTTAACCTGTCCCTTGTCCAAGCAGTTGTGCCAACATGCTTCAAAACCACCTCCATTGTGCCAGTGCTGAAACATTCCACCCCTGACGTGCCTATCATCATGAAGTGCTTTGGAGCGCCTGGTCCTGGCGTGCCTGATGACCTGCCTCCCACCCACACTGGACCCCCACCAATCTGCCTACCGAATGAATAGGAGCACAGAGGATGCAGTCTCCATAGCACTGTACTCAGACACCTGGACAACAACAACTTTTATGCAAGAATGCTGTTCGTGGACTTCAGCTCAGTATTTAATGTGGTCATCCCCTCCAAGTTAACCACCAAACCTGGAGACCTGGGCATCAGCACCTCTTTCTGCAAATGGATTCTGGACTTTTTGACCAATAGGTCTCAGCATGTTAGATCAGACAACAACTGCTCCTCCACCATCATCCTCAAAACTAGCATACCACAGGGATGTGTGCTGAGCCCATTCCTCTACTCCCTTTTCACCCACAACTGCAGGCCTGTGCATGACTCCAACATCAAGTTGGCAGACGACACCACGGTGATCAGCCTCATCAGCAACAATGATGAGTCAGCCTACAGGGAGGAGGTACAGCACCTGGCTGTGTGGTGCACTGACATTAACCTGCTCCTTAACATTGACAAGACCAAGGAGCTCATTGTGGACTACAGGAGGCATACACAAACCCATCAATATTACAGTTTTTCTGAATTGCTAAAACATGTTTCTTGAAACCACCGCTCATTTTCTCAAAACCTTAAACACAAATCCAAATACTCAAACTAAATTCACAAAACCTGACTCGTCTGGCAAAATCAAGCAATTGCTTCAAAACCATGTCACCAGCACTCAAAATCAAACAATGCTTTCAGATCATACACAAATGAGTCAATCATATACACACTGCAGCTCAGTCATTAGACACTACATCAAAAAAAGGAGAACACAGCATCCAGGACATGTAGTTACAACAAAAAAAAAAGTTTATTGTATAGTGAATTTACCAAAAACCATGTTACGATCAAAAAAGAAGAAAAACACATCAGAAAGATTATTCTGCCTCAGGATCACTGTGTACTTTGAACTGGCTAATGATTTGTACCTTCTCATCACATAATTAGAAACAAGTGTGAACAATTTTGAATCGTTGTGTGTAAACAATGACAACTGTGCTTTAGTTGTGTTTAAGTTCTGCTGTCCTCTGTTTAGTGTTTTGCAACACAGGTTCATCACAGTGTGAATTGTGTTTTAGTGAGTGAGAATGTGTTTGGAGTTTAGCAAAAAGAGTGCATGAGATTTGCTAACAGAGTCTAAGTGCCTGAACTTGTTTAAGGTTTTGCAGAAAGAGTGATTTATTCGAGAAATTGGTTTATGCCATTGAGAATTTGGTTCAGAGATTGGGGTTTATTGTTTTAGCAATTCAGAAAAACTGTAACGGGATGGTTGTTGAACGTGTCTCCAGCTTCAAATTCCTGGAGACCCACATCTCAGAGGATCTGTCCTAGACCACCAACACCTGCAGCCTGGTTAAGAAGGCTCACCAGGGCCTCTTCTTCCTAAAGAACCACCTGTCTTCAGCCATCCTGGTGAAATTCTACCGCTGTGCCATCTAGAGCATCCTGACCAGCTGTATCAGTCTGGTATGGAAACTGCTCCGTCTCCAACCGCAAGGCGCTGCAGCAGGTAGTGAATACTGCCCAACACATCACAAGAACCACTCCAGCCACTGAGGGTGTCCACAGGGAACGTCGTCTCTGATGTGCTGGCAGCGTTCTCCAGGACTCCTCTCACCCTGCTCACAAACCGTTTGACCTCCTGCCCTCTGGGAGGCGCTTCAGGAGCCTCCGGACCGAGACTGGTAGACTCAGGAACAGCTTCTTCCCTGCAGTCGTCGCCTTACTGAACTCTGTCCTCCCCATCAGTAAATTAGTTCTGACTATTCATACTGTAGATACTGTGCACTCTGCACTGCTGTTATTACACTTCTGGTTAGATGCTAAACTGTATTTCATTGCCTTGTACATGTGTAATGACAATAACATTGAATCTAATCTAATTAGCCTGCATTTACTAAAGTACTGTGCTTAAGTAAGTTTTTGTACTGTGTTTCCATTTTATGATGCTTCTACTTTATTATTAGTCTTTTCACTGCACTCCATTAATCTAATAACTGAAATTACTGATTAATAATATCAGTAAATAAATTGGTGCAGTTCAATTAAATTTGCACTCAGACAAAATCAACAATTTCTATTTTGGGCTAGGCTGCCCTCTCTACCCTACTTTGACCTTCATTAAACTATTTCATATTTTTAATGGGTCTGGGTCTCTTCCCCCCCCCCCAGGATGCGGAAAGTATTCAGACCCCCTTAAATTTTTCACTCTTTGTTATATTGCAGACATATGCTAAAATCATTTAAGTTCATTTTTTTCCTCATTAATGTACACACAGCACCCCATATTGACAGAAAAACACAGAATTGGACATTTTTGCAGATTTATTAAAAAAGAAAAACTGAAATATCACATGGTCATAAGTATTCAGACCCTTTGCTCAGTATTTAGTAGAAGCACCCTTTTGAGCTAATACAGCCATGAGTCTTTTTGGGAATGATGCAACAAGTTTTTCACACCTGCATTTGGGGATCCTCTGCC